AGAGAATAAGAAAAGAAATTGAAAAAAGGGATTAATTTGAAATTGGGCCAATTTTTATGCCCAAATCCGTCGAAAATCCAGCCCAATTCCTTTCAAATACACGGTCCAATCCCTACCCTACAAAACGACCCCGTTTCACGCCCTTTTATCACAACCATTNCTCTAACCTAAACCTAGCCGCCCTCAAACACTCCCAATTCCACACTGCTTAAACCCTAGTCGCCGCCTGCCGGAAATCATTTCATGACAGTGGCCGGTCTCCAAACCACCCCAAAATTACACCATGCAATCCTCATCCCCCCCTTCTTTCCAAATCCATCATTAGTTTTCACTAAATCCCACCCAAATCCCACCAATTTCAGATCTGGAAAACCGGAGCCCTAGTTGATTTTTTCTTCTAATCCTTCGAAGCTTCAAGACACGACTTGAGTCTAAAATTTATATTAACTAATCGTTCTCAGCAAGAATGATTGCTTACTGTATTTTTTGGACCCACTTCAAAGCATGACCAAGAGTTTAGCCAGTCTTGTACGAGCCCTTTGGTCCAAGTTTCTTTTCAACTTTGTTTTGGTAAAGCCTTACCACTGTCCTCTCCCTTCTTTTTCTTTTTGAGTCAGTGCCTTTTTTTAGGTTTTAGTTAGTCATGTTCAATCATGTGTTGTTGTTAGATTTTTTTTAATTTGGTTTAACTATTGATTAGCTTAGTTCATAGTCACAGATGCTAGCTATTTTGATTGTTTTGAATTATTTGTGGAATTTTTCTGTCATTCCTTCTGTTAGTCCTCTTTGTCTCTTCTTCACGATTCTTTTTATTCAGTTTGCATGTCTTAGGATTTTTAGTATTTTATTTAATCTTCTTGCCTATGTTGATATAAAGCAACATGTTTATCTTTGAATATTGGCAATCCCTTTGATCTTATTTAGGTTAGTTGACGGTTCCATTTGTGTTTGCCATAATTTGTAAATCAATAGACATTTCTAGGGGTCAAATGAACAAAAGAAAAATTAAGGGGTCATGTGTGGGGTGGACAAACATGAAATAGGATAAGACCATGATTAGAAGGTTCTAGAATATGGGGAGTTGGCCCTATTTGGCCAATACAAAAGATACTGAAACCAATTAGGGACAGCCAGCTGTCCAATTCTGTTAAAATATGCCTTTTGTGGCTGAAGGGAATAATTCCTTTATTCTTTCAGCACATAGCATTTTATATGCCTATATAGAGTACCTTTCCTTCACTCATTAGATAGATTTTTCAGATCCAAAAGTACCCTAAAAAGTTCGGCTGTACTGTTACATTGGTGGCTAATCCAGTTTCTGATTTAAGAAGAAAAATAGTTAGAAAAGTTCTCGGAATTTCTGGTTTTAAAAAAGTCAAGAAAATGGATTGAATTTGAAACTGGGATTTGCTGTTGTTAGTTGTTGATTTTGACTGATTTTTCTACTGCTTCCTTTGTTCTCAAAGATTTTTTATATTCACTGTTGTTCCTTGTAACTAGGTATTCTTCGAATCTTAAATAGCAAGTGGAGTGCAAGTATATTCTTCCTTTCAAAGTTGTGTTCTGTGACCTGAAAATTACTGTTTAATCTTTGAATTTCAGTCTTTTCTTTACATATGTTGCTTTCAAGTCATTTAGCTTTCTTCTTTGTAATGTTGTTCCCATCTTTGGTTTTTGAGTATTTTAGACCTGTTTAGTTAAAGGTTTTCATAAATGAATGTCTAAATTAGTTCGTATGTGCCATGTTTTGTTCAAAGGTTAAGATGTTTAATTATCACAGTACCTTTCTGATTAGAGTATACTGTTAGAGGTTGCTGCATCATTTGGGACATTGAGTACATTTAGTTTAATTATCTAGGAATCTAGCAATTGATAGTGTGAATTACATGTTTGAGATTAATGTATTTGAGGAGTTTAAGGTTCAAGCTTATAGTAAAAATATCATCAATGGCTTGCTAATGATTTAATACTTAAATTTGGTTGATTAGTGTTCTGAACCTTCAGTAGTCCAGTAGTGTTTTTTGGTGTATCTGTACAAAAAGGAATCAGGCCTCATAGAGCCTTAACGTTAAAGGCTACTTGGGTAAAAATGATTGGGCCTGGTGTTGGCCCATATGAGACAACCTGGCTAAAGCCAAGCCCAATATGACCATGCTCTCGATTTCTTTCACTGATGGGCTTAATTTTGAGCCCAGGTCAGCATTTGTTTGATTAAGTTATTTCTGTTAAGGATAGGCTTTAATTTTTGAAGGTTTGTATTTGAGAAGTTGGGCATGTACTAGCCCAAGTAAAAACTGCCAGGATAAAACGGGACTTACTTGTTCCCTTATCTTCCTTCTTGGGCCCAGTTTCGAGCCCAGCCAGCACCAACTATATTTTTTTTTTACAAAACTTTCCTTAGATAGTGTAATGGTCCTACCTTTGGCCCAACCTTTTCCAAAACAATTAAAATTCAGCATGTATACCCAATGCATATCTTTAATTAGTAGCTTTACTTTGAATTTCAATTTAGTTTCTTTTAGAATAAATGTGAACATTCGTAGTCTGCTTTAGGCGCGAACTTGGCAAATGTCGGTTTTTTTTAACTAATGAATTACTAATAGTTGGATACTTTCCTTTAAAAATAAATTGAGGCGTGTCATACACAAATAAAATCTATAACCCATGGCCCTCGCATTAATACCAACTAGTGTGAAAGACACTTTGGACATTCATAACTAGCGTAAAAAATACTTTGAACATTCGTAGTTTGCTTTAGGCGCGTTTTATAATAAATCATCATGACTATGGGTACGGTTCCCGTGGCATAATCGTGATACCTAATTTCCAAATTCGGGTATGCATTTCATGTGACCCGATCATAACAACTTCGAACAATAATAAAATAAATGTATCGCGAATCGCGGGTGCATTTCATGTAGCGTGGTTTGCGGTGTGTTCCAAAATGGCAAGTGTACGACAATCGTAACTTGTTCAAGAAGTAATTCCATAAATCCTAAAAAGTCATTAAAATAATTAAAAGTGGATATAAAGTTAAAAATGCACAATAGGTCTAAAACATGTAATTAATCAAATAATTAGGCCAATTTTTAATAGTTTACACGACCGTGCTCGAACCACGAAACCCGAGAATGCATAACACCTTCTCCCGGGTTAACAGAATTCCTTACCTAGAATTTCTGGTTTCGCAGACTTTTAAATAAAGTCAAAATTCTCCTCAATTTGGGATTTAAAATAAACCGGTGACTTGGGACACCATAAATTATTTCAAGTGGCGACTATGAATTTGAATATAAATAATCCCATTTTAATTAATGTCACTTTTTAATTGGAAAAACTCCCTTATATACCCTTTTGGGTAGAAACAGGAGGTGTGACAGATGGAACCGTGGCAAGATATCAATAAGCTAGAGAGTATAGAAGGAAGCTGGTGATTCATTCTGCTTATGCTAATATGAATGGTAAGATATGGGCTTTTGTTGAGTAAGATATAGATGTTGACATTGTGATGAACATGGAACAGCAAATGACACTTAAGTTGTTAACAAAAATTTAAACAAGGAACTATATGTGACATTAGTCTATGCCAAATGTGATACTATAGAAAGAATTGAACTGTGGGATATTCAATGTATCATTTAGCCTTAGATATGGAATCTCCTTGGCTTGTTGTAGGAGATTTCAATGTGATTCTATATGAGGAGGAGAAATATGGAGGACTGCATGTTTATTTAAGTGAAATAGAGGACTTTGCACATTGTGTGGATACATGTGCATTATATGACCTAGGCTTCAAGGGGAGTTTGTACACTTGGTGGAATAAGAGATCTGATATAGACTGCATATTTAAGAGGCTTGATAGATACTTTACAAATGAACAGTTCCTTGGCCATTTCCCAACACTTTAAGTATAGTATCTGATTAAGTATGGTTCTGATCATGCTCCCCTCCTACTTTCTTTTAACATTGACACAGTCCATATTAAGAAACCTTTCAAATTTCTTAATTTTTAGGCTACACATGAAACGTTTCTGAAGGTGGTAAAGGAGAATTGGGTGACTGGTGGCATGGGAAATTCATTTATTCAATTTCACAATAAGTTGAAGAAGGTGAAGGCAGCATCGGTAGTGTGGAGTAAGGAGACCTTTGGAGACATATTTAAGCAAATTGCATCACTGGAGGATATCATTAAGGTTCATGAGGTGGAGTTTGAGTTGAATCCAACAACACAAAATAAAGCTAAATTATACAAGGTTAAAGCTGATCTTACAAGATACTATCAGTTTGAGGAGGAATTTTAGTGGCAAAAAGTAGGAATGCAGTGATTTAAAGATGGGGATAGAAACATAAATCTTCTATGATCATGTTAGAGGTAAAAGGAAAAGGTTGCAAGTCAATAGGATATTGGATGATAATGGTAATTCGATAGATTCAAAGGAAGAAATAGCTAAGGAGGCAGTTGATTTCTTTCAAGCATAGTTTACTGAAGAAAAAGATCCAACAAACTTTGACATCATAAAGTATGTTCCAAAGATGATTACTGAAGAGCAAAATGAAAGGTTGTATGCTGAACCTACAATGGAAGAAGTCAAGGCAGTAGTATTTGGCTTAAATGGAGATAGTACCAGTGGTCCAGAAGGATTCACTGGCCATTTTTATCAGGCTAGCTGGGAAATAATATGTGAAGATGTGCTCAATATAGTCAAGGGTTTCTTTTGTGGTGCTGAGCTTCCAAAATTCATCATTCACACAAACCTTGTATTGCTTCCCAAAAAGAAGACTGTAGCTACATTTTCAGACATGAGGCCAATCAATCTAACAAAATCATATCCAGAGTAGTTCATGAGAGGTTAGTAGATCTACTGTCTTCCTTAATATCTCCCAATCAGGCTGGTTTTGTCAAATGAAGGAGCATTGTAGAGAATATCTTATTAACTCAAGAGATCATAACTGACATTAGATTGAGAGGGAAGTTATCTAATGTTGTTATCAAATTGGACATGGCAAAGGCGTATGATAGTCTCATGGTTGTTTTTGACAAAGGTGCTAAGGCAAACGGGGTTTGGAGAGGTGTTCAGTGATATGATCTTTAAGTTAGTGTCCAACAATTGGTACTCTGTTCTCTTGAATGGGCAGGCCAATGGTTTCTTCAAATCATCAAGGGAAGTTAAGCAAGGAGATCCTCTTTCTCCCTAATTCTTCATTCTAGCAGTTGAAGTACTTGGAAGAGCCTTGGATGCCTTGTTTGACAATCCTGATTTCATAGGATTTGATATGCCAAAGTGGAGTCAAAACATCAACTATTTATCCTATGCAGATGACACAATTATTTTTTGTTTTTCTCACTATGGGGCAGTGCAGCTTACCATGAATGTATTAAAGGAATATGAGGCAGCTTCAGGTCAGAATATCAACAAGGAAAAGTCCTCTTTTTATATGCATGAAGGAGTGCCTGCAAATGAAGCTAACACTGTCTATTTGATTACAGAATTTCAAAGAAATCCCTTCCCATTCACATATTTGGGATGCCCTATATCCTACAGCAGGAGGAAGAAAGATTTCTACAAGGGCATCCTCTTCAAATTTCAGGAGAGGCTATCATCATGGAAAGGTAAGCTATTCTCAATTGGTGGCAGGGCTGTTTTGGTTGCACATGTGCTTGAGAGCATGCCAATTCATCTCTTGTCAACTGTGAACCTACCAGTATATGTGATCAATCAGTTACACAAGATGTTTGCTAGGTTCTACTAGAGCAATTCAGGCAATGGAAAGGCTAGACATTGGGCTTCATGGGGCAATTTGTGTCTGCCTAAAAGTGAAGGAGGTCTTCGTTTCAGATCCTTACATGATGTGGCTAAGGCATTGTTTGCTAAGCTGTGTTAGAACTACAGAACAAAAGATACACTATGGTCTATATTTATGAGGAACAAATAATGCAAGAAGATTATTGAGGTGCTAGTTCCTTGGAGAAATGGATCCCGGGTTTGGAAGAAAATGCTACAAATGAGAGAGGAGGTGGAACATCAAGTGTGGTGGCAACTGAAAAATGGAATCTCTTACTTCTGGTATGATAGTTGAACTGGACTTGGAGCTCTTTACCATGATTCATGTCCAGATTATTGGTGTGATGAATCCATAAAACACGTGGATGAGGTGGTGGAGAATGGGACATGGAATGAAGTGTTGTTGAGGGAGCTAGGAGTTAGCTGACCATATCTTAGAGAATATCACACCTCCTACACATCCCCCAATGAAGGATAAGCCTAGAAACGAATGGCCAATTTACAGTGAATTCTGCTTGGCAATACATAAGGAAGATAAGAGATGAGAGCAAGCTATACAAGTTCTTCTGGGTGAAGGGACTGCCTTTCAAAGTTAGCTTCTTCATGTGGAGGTTATGGAAAGCAAAACTGCCTTTGGATGATTGGTTCCAAAGGCTGGGGTATATTAGAACTTCAAGATGTTGGTGTTGTAGGCACCCTAAATAAGAAACATTACCTCATGTCTTCTTGAAATCTCCAGCTGCTAGGTTTATGTGGAATTATTTTGGTGCACCTACTGGGATCAAAACAAAAGCAGCTGGTACAATTGATAAATGAATGGTAGAACTAAGCAAGAAATACAAGTTTGAAGGCAGTATATCAAGCAATGCCAAACTTGATTGTCCGGCACATGTGGAAGAGGATGAACTCTGCATAGTATGAGAAAACTGTATTTATTAATAGGCTGATTTATCAGATTTCAAACTTCATCCAAATGCTATTGAAAGTGAGGAGACTAGGCATCAAGGATGTCACGGCAAATTGGCCAGACCTACATGAGAAGTTAGCCCATCATGTTCCAAAGCTAATATATACAAAGGTTATGTGGCAACTACCTCTTGTGGGTTGGATAAAATGCAATACGGATGGGGCTTGTAGAGGAGACAATGGAGGAGCTCCATATGATTTTTGTATAAGGGATGGAATAGGAGACCTCATCTATGCCCAGGCAGAATGAGTAGAGGAAGCAACAAACAATATAACCGAGGCACAAGCAATTCTGGAGGCTCTAAGGTACATTATTCAAATTCCATTCTCTCCATGCATAATTGAAACTGATTCTTTGCTTATTAAGAATGTGTTGGATGATATTCGGGAACCACCTCGGAGCATAGCCAACCAGGTAGATGAAACCAAATCATTATTGTCTAGGGGTGTATTCCAGCTAGCTCATGTACTGAGGGAAGGCAACAAGTTAGTTGATCATCTAGCTAACTTGACATTGGACCAGCAACATATACAACATGTACGCTCATTTTGGTAACTAGACATACAATGGAGGAAGATACTGAACAATGACAAACTTCAAATACCCTACTTGAGGGTAAGAGTTGCCAAGCCAAATGCTAATTGATGGAGGAACTAATTGATATGGAGAGTGAAGGGGAGATCATAATAATGAAGAGGATGAGGAGAAATTATTATGGAGGAATGAGGCAAATTATAGGGGAAAGAGAAAACATGACCCTTCCAACTCAAATCCTTAGGGAGGAAAGAAGGAAGGATTTTTTCTCTAACATGTTTGTTAATTTTGCAGGTACCTTGGAGGGGGTTTGGCTCTATATTTTGGCCAAACCTATTAGGGTGGTATTAGTATCTTTGATACTCAACCCCTATAGGTGTAATCACTAGATAGGTCAGCCCGATTATTCTATCAAAAATGCAAACAGAAGGCTGCGCACAAGCCTATGCTATACGATTCATTACCAAGTCTAGTATGGAGGAACCAGGAAGAGTTACACTATGAAATGCATATCCTTTTGGATCTACCACTTCCTGAGAATCACAAAAGGCAAGAAACACACAGTCCATCAAGTCTCAAGAGCCAGTGTTACGCGCAAGGATTGTCTAGTTGATGCAAGATCAAGATTGCTAAAAATCCAAGAAATTCAAGAAGTGAAGAATCCATTCAAAATTAGGATTTCTTTTCCTTAAAGATTATGATTTGTTATTTCTTATTTCCTAGTAATTTAATTTTTGTTTTAGTAGGATTATATTTGTAGTTCTAGTCAAACTAGGCTTGTTAGTTGGTATCCCATTCTTATTAGAATTCTTTTTCCAATTTTAGTTAGGATAGGTTTTCTTAGCTTTATTCTTATTTTAGTTTAATTAGGATTAGTTTTCCTTAACCTTATCAATTTTATGCATTGTAAGACCTATTTAAAGGGCTTAATATACTGAAAATAAAGAGTGGTGATTAGTTTTTTTAAGCTTTTGCTTCAAAAACGTGATTGATCTTTTATTTCATTCTTCTTCTTTTTCCAATGGTTCTTGCAATCTTGAGGGATTGATGACCGTGTGGGGTGAGGTTTCTTTCCATCTTACATTCTTCTAACGTGAGTTGAAGAACGTTTTCGCTAGTTTTGTGAAAAACTCTAGCGGGTTGCTTTTGTTTTTCTCTCTTCTTTGTACTTGAGAAGTGCAAAATCTTGAAAGTACATCACTACTGCCCACATTAGGTAAGCTTCGCCATGGGGTTGTACCACTTTTGGCTGGCAATTTCAGTGAGTATTGGAGGAGCTCTCATGCACATTGTGCATCTACTACACATAAGGAACCTACATATAACAGGTTTGGTACTAGATTGTCCAGGTATGATCACACAACTAGGCAACAAAGTCGCAACAAAGTCCCTACTGCCTTGAACTGGACAGGTATCTTAGAATGCATTTCGCGCAAATTGGGGAACAAGCAGGCATGTTCAAGTTTAGATACCAGTTATAGACATCACATGAAGTCCCCAGTTGACAAAGACACCAAGTGCAACTACCCAAATTCAAACGAAGAGAATACAGTCCTTTCAAAGAGGTGTTTCAAGTTAAAGTCAGTTAGATTGATTCAAGATTTATGGTTATTAGATCTTTTTGTACTATCAAAGAATTGTGTCCCACAAGACTTTGATATTAGGTTCCATGTACTTTCATTATTTACGCACTTACATTTTGTAAGACCTCCAGACACATGTTGATTTATTTTGGATTATCTTAATAAAAAAGACCACTAGGCTGACTAGGCAATCAACCTAGTGGTATATTTGCCTAAAACGTGCAATAAAATCTTGAAAAAAAGACATTTTGGTCATATCATCTTTTTCTCATTATTTATAGAAGTATGGAAAATGCTCCATTCATCCATTCGATTGGTGAAGAATAGGGATGGCAAATGGGCAGATCGATTCGGATATGAGCGGGTCAAAACGGGTAATTCGAAAATAGATTAATTATCCAACCCGACCCGTATTTGAGACGGATAAAAATGGGTTATTCGGCAGATAATATGGATATCCATATCATCCATTGCTTCTTGAATATGATCACCTTTGGGAGAATTCTTAGTCTGCCAAACTTGAGGAACCCCCAATTTGAGCCTTTACAAATGTAAAAATTAAACACATTAGTTATTCATTGGTTAACATTAGTTAAACACATTTCTTATCCATATTCGACCCGTTTTTAAAAAGTATCTATTTTTAGTGGATAATATGGGTGGATAACTATTTTGTTTTAGGCCAAATACATATACAGACCATTAAACTTGGCCCAATTTTTCATTTTGGCACTTTAACTTAGCCTTGTTCCATTTTGGCCCTCCAACCCCATTTCTTTTGTTCCATTTTGACACAAAATATTTTCTCCCAGGTAAAAATGCAGCGCGTGCAAATACCCAGCTGCCACCCCCCCACCCCCGCAAATTTTTTTTTCTTTTTCTTTTTTGTAATTTCAAATTATTGTTTTTTTTCATTTTTTCTGGCCACATCCCGGGGAAAAATATTTTTTTATATATATTTTCAGTAATAACTACGGGTTCAACTGAACCCATAACTTTCGACGCAGAGTAAAAATTTGTAAGTAAAAATTCATTAAAATTATAAAAAAAATAGATATAAACTCGTAACATTTAAAAATATAATGGGTTCTTTTNCCCCGCAATTTTTTTTTAATTTCAAATTATGTTTTTTTTTGTTTTTTCTGCCCCCTCCCATGGAAAAAATATTTTTATATATATATATTTTCAGTAATAACTACGAGTTAAACTAAACCCATAACTTTCGATGCGGAGTAAATATTTATATGTAAAAATTCATTAAAATTGTAAAAAATAGATATAAACCCATAACTTTAAAAATATAATGGGTTCAATGTTAAAAACATTAAAATTGAATCCATAAGATTTAAATTCTAGATTCGCCTCTACGTTGAAATTTGGCTTAGAAATGGCTCTCACGCGCCTACAAGGGTGAGTCAAATCACATGTGGAATCTAATCAGTTTTGTGTCAAAGTAAAATAAAAGAAATGGGGTTAGAGGGCCAAATGGAACAAGGCTGAGTTAAAGTGCCAAAATAAAAATATATAAAAAAACATGCATTTTTATGTATTTGGCCTTTGTTTTAACCATTTTGTCACATGTAGACCGAAGAACATGCATACATGGAGGCACCAATTAACCCACTACATCATGCAATTGTCCTGTGAGTAAGAAGCTGCTTCCTTTTGGTCAGCGGAATAATGGCAAACTTCCCAAAATCGGCAAATATATTTTGTGTGTCATGCAAGTGACACTAGTGGTACGAGTCAATTTTTTTATATTATATTTTTGTATACTCAAAAGTGTAAGATGAAGGTGCACAAATTTATAAAAAAAAAAAATTCATGGAATTGCATAACACACAAAATAAAACTTTCTCCCCAAAACGTATACTTCTGTTTCTG